GAGGGAGTCGAGGAGGGGGGCGGGGGGAGGGGGGGGGGGGGGGGGGGGGGTTCTCATCCGTCGCAGGAAGTGCAGGTGCTGCTGGGCTTTTTTCACCAGGGAGGTGGTGTGTAGTGACCAGCCGAGGTCGTCTGTGATGTGCACCCCCAGGAACTTGGTGCTGCTGAGGACCTGCACTGCTGTGTCATTGATGAGTAGCGGTGTGTGGCTGGGTTGGGATCTCCTGAAGTCGACGATGATCTCTTTTGTCTTGTTAATGTTCAGGAGCAGGTTATTTGTCTGACACAATTCCACCAGATGACGTACCACCTCTCTGTAGGCCAGCCCGTTGTCATCCTGAATGAGGCCCACAACTGTAGTGTCATCCGCATACTTTAGTATGTGGTTGGTGTTGTGTCTGGGACGACAGTCATGGGTCATCAGGGTGAACAGCAGAGGGCTCAGGGCGCAGCCCTGAGAGGAGCCAGTGCTCAGGGAGATGACACTGGAGGTATTGTTGCCCCCTGGAACAGACTGGGTTCTGTCAGTGAGGAAGTCCAGCAGCCAGTTGCACGGGGGGTGTTAAGCCCCAGGGGGCCCAATTTACATACCAGGTCCTGGGGAATGATCATGTTGAATGCTGAGCTGAAGTCCAGAAACAGCATCCTTACGTGGGTGTTCTTTCCCTCCAAGTGCTCCAGGCTCAGGTGAAGAGCAGTGGAGACGGCGTCCTCAGTGGAGCGGTTAGGTGAACTGGAACGGGTCGAATGATGGGGGCAGTGACGATGTGGTCCTTAACAACCCGCTCGAAGCACTTCATGATGGTGGGTGTTAGTGCAACATGTTAGGCATGAGATGGTTGATTTCTTTGGCACTGGAATTATGGTGGCTGACTTGAAGCATGAGGGGACGATGGCCTGGTTCAGTGACGTGTTGAAGATGTTAGTGAGCACGTGGGCCACACTCCTTGATCAGCCGTCCTGGGATGTTGTCAGGACCTGTCGCTTTCCGTGCGTTGACTTTTCTCAAAGCTCTCCGCACAGTAGTGGTTTCAAGCCTGAGGACCTGATCATCGGGGTGGGGGGTAACTTTCCTTGCTGGTGTGTTGTTCAGAGCTTCGAATCTTTCGAATAAGTTGTTGAGCTCATTGAGGAAGCTGATGTCATCCTGGCAGGGTGAAGGTGTGGTTTTGTAGTCTGTGACAGACTGGATTCCCTGCCACAGTTGTCTGGTGTTGCTGGGATCATGGAAGAAACCCTGGATCTTTCGACTGTGGACACGCTTTGCATCCCTGATGGCACGGTTCAGGTTGGCTCTCGCTGATCTGAGTGCCACTGCGTCACCAAATTTGAAGGCTGCATTACGTTCCCTCAGTCTCGTACACACATCCTTGTTCATCCATAATTTCTGGTTGGCCCATGGTATTATTGTCTTTGTTGCTGTGACCTCCTCCATGCACCACTGGATGTAGCCAGACACTGATGCAGCATACTCTTCCACATCTGTGTTGACTGTCCGTTGCAGCCTCTCTGAACATGTCCTACTCAGTGCACTCAAAACAGTCCTGCAGTGCAGACATAGCTCCCTCAGGCCACACTCTTACCTTCTTCACAGCAGACTTTTCTCTGATGAGCAGGGGCTGGTATGTTGGAATTAGCATAACAGAGAGATGGTCTGAGATCAAGTCCAGTGTATTTCCAGCCCTGGTCGCAAAATCCACATGCTGATGGAAGTTAAGAAGAACAGTCTTCATGTTGGCTTGGTTAAAGTCCCCAGCAACAATAAAAACGCCATCCGGATGTGTATTTTGTATGTCACTAATGACACGGTAGAGAGTGGTTAGCGCTTGTTTGGTGTTAGCGCTGGGTGGTATGTACACGGCAGCAACGATGACAGTATTGAATTCCCGGGACAAGTAGAAGGGTCTGCATTTCACAATCATAAATTCAATGTCTATGGAACAATGACTGGAGACCAGGATAGCATTGTTACACCACATCTGTTGTTTGTGTAGATGCAAACAGAGCATTTGCGGGGTGGGTGGGGTCCTTCATGATGCAGGAGGCCCGTTTCCTGCATCTGGCGGTGTAGATATCCATGGTGGTGGGGAGAGTGTGTCCCACGGTCTTCTGTGCAGCCTTTACCACCTTTTTCTCCGCAGCCAAGCAGCTGCCGTGCCACACGATGATGCAGGAGGACAGGATGCTCTCCACCACACATCTGTAGAAAGAGGTTAGGACTGAGCTCCCCAGTCCAGCACGCCTCAGTCTCCTCAGGAAGTAGAGGCGCTGGTGCGCTTTCCTGATCAGGCAGGAAGTGTTGGTTGTTGGAGATGTGTACTCCCAGTTACCTGAAGCTGGAGACCACTTCCACCACTGTCCCTCCAATGTGCAGGGGGGGGGGGTGTCTCCCCCTTCTGAAGTCGATGATCATCTCCTTGGTCTTCTTTGCTTTGATGCAGAGGTTGTTTTCTCTACACCAACCCTCCAGATGTTCTACCTCCTGCCTGTAGTTTGGACTCATCGTTGGCCATCCCTTAAATTTAAGAGTTCAATTAGGCCGTAACTTACATGCTTGTTTACACAAGCAAAACGGTTAGAGTGGCGACTCATTGCCAAGTGTCGCCACCTTTGTGCTCCAGAATTGGCAACAGATTTCGCAGAGGAGTTTGGACAAGAGACGGCTAAAACAGTCAGGAAATTTTTTATGTGGACGACTGTCTTAAGTCGGCTTCTGATGAAGATACAGCCATCACACAGTGTGCTGAGTTGAGAAGCATGTTGGCAAAAAGAGGATTCCAGCTGGCAAAGTGGTCAAGCAACAGCAGGAAGTTGCTTAACTCAATCCCAGAAGAGGAAAAAGCTTAAGGGTTTCAAGATCTGGACTTTGATGAGGACAACTTACCCATGGAGAGAGCATTGGGTATCCAGTGGTGTGCCGATTCAGGTTCAAGGAATCAAGAGTTTTTATTGTCATTGCAACACATGTTAGACATGGGATGAACAAAGTACAGGTTACATAGGGGAACAGTTCGACACAGTGCTGCGAAGAAGAGAAAGTGACAATTGTGCAAGTGTGAAAGATAAGAACAAGAACAACAACACTTGCCAGGGCAACAAGAGCAACACGTGGTGACAATAGTTGTGAGACAATGTGCAGGCCACCACATATTTTCTGTTTGTGGTGTGGTTATGGGGGGAGGGGTGTTGGCGGAGTCAATGTGGGGGAAGGGGGGGTTACAGCGGAGTTCAACAGTCTCACAGCTTCAGGGAAGAAGCTGTTCCTCAGTCTGGTGGCCCTGCTTTTGATGCTCTGTAGCCAACTTCCTAAGGGGAGGCAGACAAAGAGCATTTGCAGGTTGGGTGGGGTCCTTTATGATGCAGGGGGTCCGTTTCCTGCATCTGGCGGTGTAGATATTCGTGGTGGTGGGGAGAGTGTGTCCCACGGTCCTCTGTGCAGCCTTCACCACCCTCTGCAGAGCCTTCTTCTCTGCAGCCAAGCAGTTGCTGTGCCACACGATAATGCAGGAGGACAGGAGGCCCTCCACCACACATCTGTAGAAAGAGGTTAGGACTGAGCTCCCCAGTCCAGCGTACCTTAGTCTCCTCAGGAAGTAGATGCGCTGGTGTGCTTTCCTGATCAGGCAGGAAGTGTTGGTTCTCCAGGTGAGGTCATTGGAGATGTGTACTCCCAGGTATCTGAAGCTGGAGATCACTTCCACTGCTGTCCCTCCAGCCGGTGCTGAGCGTGACGGAGGAGGAGGAGACGCCATGGATCCTCACAGACTGCGGCAGACAGACTGACAGAAAGTCCAAGTTGCAGAGGGTGGAGCGCAGTCCAAGAATGTTGAGCTTCTGTATCAGGGACTGCAGTCTGATGGTGTTGAAAGCTGAAGTAAAGTCCACAAAGAGCAGGCGTACATAGGAGTCCTTCTCTTCTAAGTGGGTAAGGGTTGTGTGAACTACAGAGGAGATGGCGTCCTCTGTGGATTTTTTGTTCCTGTATGCATACTTGTGTGGGTCCTCAGTGACGTCAATGGAGTCCTTAATGTGGACCATGACCAGTCTTTCAAAGCACTTCATGACTATCAGGGTGAGGGCTACTGGCCGATAGTCATTCAGGCCTGTCACTGTGGACGGTTTGGGAATAGGGATGATTGTGGCAGTCTTCAGAAAGGTGGGGACTGTCGCCTGTTGGAGGGAGGTATTGAAGATGTCTGTCAGTGCCTCCGTCAGCTGGTGTGTGCAGTCCCTCAGCAGCCGCCCAGGGATGTTGTCAGGACCAGCAGCTTTACGTGGGTTGATCCTTTGGAGGGTCCTCCTCACCTCTGCTGTGGTCACACTGAGCAGCTCTTCTCCTGGTGGAGGGGCAAGCCTGGTGCTGGGATGTTCGGATCGTCGAAGCGGGCGTAGGATCTGTTAAGAGCATCGGGCAGAGAGGGGTCCATTGTGCATCTCTGGTGTTATAATCTGTGATGCACTTGATTCCCCTCCACATACTTCACGGATGGACGAGAACTGACCCTGGATCCTCCGAGTGTATGCGGCCGTGGCCCTCTTCACACCGGCGTTCAACTTTCTCCTCGCCACTCCGAGTGCAACTCTTTCACCGGACCTGAAAGCAGCATCCCTGGCTTCTAGCAGAGACCTGACCTCTGCATTCAGCCAGGGTTTCTGATTAGGATCATCGGTTACAGTTCGGGTGATGATTACATTCTCGGCATGCTTACCTATGTATCCAAGGACAGCAGCTGTGTAATCTTCCAAGTCCACCTCTCCTTCATGGACAGTTGCTTCCCTGAAGATCTGCCAGTCTGTGCACTGGAAACAGTCCTGCAGTGTGGGGACAGCATCAATGGGTCACACGGTGATGGTCCTCTGTGTGGGTGTGTGGCGTCTGAGTAGGGGGCGATAGACAGGCACCAGCATGATGGAGATATGGTCGGAGAAACCAAGGTGGGGGTTGGGGACGACTCTGTATACGTCTCTCTTATTGGTGTACACACGGTCCAGCATGTTATCTCCCCGTGTCGGTATGTTGACATGCTGGTAGAATTTAGGCAGGGTGTCTGTTAGGTTTATGTGGTTGAAATCCCCTGCAACCATATAGAATGCCTCCGGGTGCTTGTGCTGGAGCGAGCTGATGTTAGCGTGCAGCTCTGTTAGCGCTATGTTAGCCTTAGCACCCTTAGCATCCGGCGAGATGTAAACAGCGACAACAAACACTGCCGTAAACTCGTGTGGGAGATAATGTGGTCGGCATTTAACAGTCATATGCTCTATTGCCTCTGAGCAATGGCTGTCCACCAGAGTGCAATTTGCACACCAACCTTTGTTGATATAGACGCATAGTCCGCCTCCAAGGGCGTCGATGTGTAAAGCTGGGTCCGGCATGTTGTCTTTTATCCAGGTTTCCGTCTGATAAAGCACTGCACAGTTCCTCATCTCACGATAAACCCCCAGCCTCAGTCGGAGCAGATCCATTTTATTGTCCAGTGAACGAACATTGGACAGGAACAGAGACGGGATCGGTGGTCTCCCGGCATTAGCCTTTAGCTTAGCCAGCAGCCCGCCCTGTTTGCCCCCTTCTGCTTCTGCGCACACCACTTACGCTTGCCCTCTGCCCGGCGTGCTCCGCTACGCCAGCCCGGTGTCCTCAGGAGCTGCAGTTTGCCCAGCAAGGCCCTGAGTCCGACGGTCGCGGTTGTTGTTGTTGTCGTTGAGCTCGTTGAGCCCGTGGCCAAACCATCCTGGCTGTAACTTACACGCTTGTTTACACAAGCAAAACGGTTAGAGTTGGCCTTGGAACCAACTGAAAAGGCACTTACAAAAAGTACTTGACGCGCCGCCATCTTGCAAAAGATTAACTTCAAAGATCAAAAACACACACTAGGAGAGGCCTGCTTTCCTTGGTCAGCCCAATTTTTGATCCGCTGGGCTTTCTCGCTCCAGTAATATTGCCTGCCCAAAAACTCCTGCAGGATTTATGTCCGCAGAAGTATAGCTGGGACGAGGACCTGCCGGACACTGTGGTCAAAGGTTGGAATAAGTGGATCCCAAGTTTGCCACAGATTAAGAAATTTGGAGTTGACAGATGTGTCTTTGCGCAGCTTCATCACTTTGCTGACGCTAGTGAAGATGCCAACGGCACCACAAGCTACTTACTGCTGCACTTTTCAACGGGTGAAGCTCAGTACACTTTGATCCTGGCAAAGACAAGGGTCGCTCCCTTAAAGTCACCAACTATTCCCAGAATGGAACTGATGGCGACAACAGTCGCAATAAAAATGGACAAGCTTCTGAGAAAAGAGCTTGAGTTGGAGCTTCACGAATCCATCTTTTGGACTGATAGCATGGCTGTGCTAAAGTACTTGAACAGTGAAAGCACCAGATTCAAGACATTCGTTGCTAACAGGGTTTCAGCATTCCTGGATCACTCTCAGACACCAGATTCAAGACATTCGTTGTCGCTGACGTTGTCTCAAGAGGACAGACTGTGGAAGCATTTTTGAAAAATGAGAGCTGCGATGAAGCGGCGTTGAAGCGTGCTGTAGGCTGGGTTCTGAAACTTAAGGATTTGCTAAAAGAGCTAAAGGAAAAGAGAAAGAAGCTACGGACAGTAGATGGAGAAAGTGGGATGACAGAGTTCAAGAAAGACGTTAAAGGAAAGTATCTGACACAGCTCCAAGAACGTCAGAGATGGTGTTCCCCTGGAAGAAACATCTGTGTCGGCGACGTGGTGCTGATTGTGGACGATGCATCACCCAGAAACTCCTGGCCACTTGGAAGAATAGTGGAGACTTTTCCTGATAGACATGGTGGTGACATTGTCAGGTTAAAGTGAAGACCAAGACCAACAAGCTTTGTCGCCTTATAACAAAGCTATGTCTTCTTCAAGAATCAGAGGATAACTGATGGACTGTTGGATCTCATCTTGAATGGGAGTAAGAACACCAAGCTTCTTTCACTAAGTGATAGTAATGTTATTCAGGCTCCTTTGATTTAAGTTGACACTTTTGGAGTAATTGTTTCATTTCAGGGGCTGGTAATATAGAAGCCTAAATGCTTCTTGCTTTCTTGTTGACGTATTTGAAACATAGTTTAAATTGATATGTGAAAAAAGATTGTTGTTAATTGTGATAAAAAAGAGGTTATTTACATTATTAATTACATTACATTATTTAACAGTTCATATTAATAAGTTAGTACTTAATTCATTTCACTTAAAAATGTGTGAAGGGTTTTATGTTTAAAAATCGCACATGTAACCTTAAATGGGAGGGAATGTGTGGGTGTGGTTGACGTAAAGCAGGAAGTCAGGTCAGTGTCATGTTGAGCCACACAGTTTTTAGACCTCTTTCTTTGCTCTTTACTTTACCTTTACACTTTTTTTTACCATCTTTGGCTCTTGCCTTTTTTATTTTCTTAATGTTGGACGGTTGTATTTTGCCTTATTTTTTAGAGTAAGCAATGAAAACCACGTGTGGAGTTTGGTTTTTGTCGTTCAAGTGGATAACAAGGGAGGAGAGCATCTAGCTCATAGCTTCACCGATTAGGAATCTACAATCCCTGTTGGGTTAAACCTGGATTAAAATTTAAAACGGTCAGGTGTAGACACAGCGATATATATATATATATATATACACTCATCGGCCACTTTATTAGGTACACCATGCTAGTAACGGGTTGGACCCCCTTTTGCCTTCAGAACTGCCTCAATTCTTCGTGGCATAGATTCAACAAGGTGCTGGAAGCATTCCTCAGAGAGTTTGGTCCATATTGACATGATGGCATCACACAGTTGCCGCAGATTTGTCGGCTGCACATCCATGATGCGAATCTCCCGTTCCACCACATCCCAAAGATGCTCTATTGGATTGAGATCTGGTGACTGTGGAGGCCATTTGAGTACAGTGAACTCATTGTCATGTTCAAGAAACCAGTCTGAGATGATTCCAGCTTTATGACATGGCGCATTATCCTGCTGAAAGTAGCAATCAGAAGAGAGTGCCAAGAAAATATTCCCCACACCATTACACCACCACCACCCGCCTGAACCGTTGATACAAGGCAGGATGGATCCATGCTTTCATGTTGTCGACGCCAAATTCTGACCCTACCATCCGAATGTCGCAGCAGAAATCGAGACTCATCAGACCAGGCAACGTTTTTCCAATCTTCTATTGTCCAATTTCGATGAGCTTGTGCAAATTGTAGCCTCAGTTTCCTGTTCTTAGCTGAAAGGAGTGGCACCCGGTGTGGTCTTCTGCTGCTGTAGCCCATCTGCCTCAAAGTTCGACGTACTGTGCGTTCAGAGATGCTCTTCTGCCTACCTTGGTTGTAACGGGTGGTTATTTGAGTCACTGTTGCCTTTCTATCAGCTCGAACCAGTCTGGCCATTCTCCTCTGACCTCTGGCATCAACAAGGCATTTCCGCCCACAGAACTGCCGCTCACTGGATATTTTTTCTTTTTCGGACCATTCTCTGTAAACCCTAGAGATGGTTGTGCGTGAAAATCCCAGTAGATCAGCAGTTTCTGAAATACTCAGACCAGCCCTTCTGGCACCAACAACCATGCCACGTTCAAAGTCACTCAAATCACCTTTCTTCCCCATACTGATGCTCGGTTTGAACTGCAGGAGATTGTCTTGACCATGTCTACATGCCTAAATGCACTGAGTTGCCGCCATGTGATTGGCTGAGTAGAAATTAAGTGTTAACGAGCAGTTGGACAGGTGTACCTAATAAAGTGGCCGGTGAGTGTATATATATAATTTTACACACAGGCTGAACAGTTCTGTAATTAACAAGCATGAATAACTTTCTCATCAATACTCACGCATTCACTCTGTCTGTAATTTGTTACCAAACCTTTTTCCTGTCTTCTGCGGCTGTGACGTGGTTGCCCTTTTAATTTTACAGCATGTCGTAGTTGTTATAGTCATGCAACAGTATTTCTAGCTCCACTGGAGTAGAGCAAAAGGTGCGGGACATGACATGGTTCGTGTCATCTGCACTCAATTGAGAGAGCCTTGTAGTAGGGCCCGATCGCCACTCAGTCTTAACTAAGACTTCCGAGAGCTAATTGTAATCGTTTGTGAAACCGTAAAGTGAGAGTTGGACCTCTCCGACTTCTGGAAGCCAGAGCTGTGGCGTTAACTCGGTGTTTCGTGAGCCAGCTTCAAGAAACGGACCCCTGGTGTGCATTCACATTTGTTTACCAAAAACACAAATCTCGTACATTTCATGTACATTGATCTTGTGATTGTTCAATAAATGTTAACTGTAAGTGCTATTTATTATCATTTGCTTTTTTTTATCAGTTTATAAACTCACATGTGTAAAATAGTCATAACTATTACATTTCGTAGCTTTGAATGCACCAACAATGAGGGTATTGCAGCTTCATACATGTATGTATGTATGTATATATCCATCCATCCATTTTCATCCGCTTATCCGTTACCGGGTCGCGGGGGTAGCAGTCGCCACCCAATCACACTGCACCGTACCAACCCCCCTGAACCTTCCTGCGGGTGGTGAGTCCACTGGAAGGTACCAACCGCCCTAACCGGGATTCGAACTTGCCCAGGAGGTGAACCCTGGGGTTCCACACCAATGACAGAGACATTGCCTCTGGGCCAAAGTGCCACT